CACACACACACACACACACACACACACACACTCACTCACACACACACACTCACACTGTTTCTGTCTCAAATAAAGGAGGTGTGAAGAAAGAGTACCTGAAAACCATACTTGAAAAATATGAGTGAAAAATGACTCTACTACAAGTGTTTCTGTCTCAAATAAAGGAGGTGTGAAGAAAGAGTACCTGAAAACCATACTTGAAAAATATGAGTGAAAAATGACTCTACTACAAGTTGCAACTCACCAGTTTCAAAACAACTTGAGTAAAAGTCTCATCTGATTTTAACAGTACTTAAGTATTTTATTCGCACTGTACTGAATATAGGCTCAAAGATGCTCTAGTCAAAGAGACATTAAATGGGTCCACTCATAGACACTGACATGTCACAATCACACGAGCAGTGAGCGGATGAAAATATAAGTTATTATTGACTGTAAACAATGTTTAAGCCGTATCAATAAACCGTTTTATCTGGTTCCCAAAAACCATGGGACGGCCCTCTAAATGGCTGAATCTCTTAGCAGAGCAAACACTACGGCTCTGTGGTGATTAAAAACAAATGGGCCTGCATGATTCAGCCTTGGTTCAGCTGATGGCAAGGAAATTACACATTATGGGCTCTCTGTCAACATCTGTGGTCCACTGAGGTCCACTCAGGACTGAATTATGAGTGAATGCAGAAAGAATGCAACATTTCAGTTTTAGTTTCAATTTCAGGAGGTAGAGCAATGAAAACGTAATGAAGACAACAGAACAAGAATAGGAAATCATATCTTTAAAGAGGTCAGTAAGGCAGTAAAAATCAGAAAATTTTTCCTTTTTATGGCATGGCAACTTAGTTCAGGTTTTACAGTAAAATATCATCTTCCCAAAAAACTGAATATATAAGTATATATATATATATATATATATATATATATATATAAGTTGTTTTATGCTGATTGTGCATGTTGTTTGCCGTTAGCTGTAATTAGAATCTACAAAAATACTTTTTGCTATCTGTTAATTTGCGCTTAAGTGGCAAACTGTACCACAGTAGTTTCAATTTCAAGCCAAATGCGTGCTGTATAGGCTTTGCATCAGCTGAGTCCACATTTTTGTATCTGCTGCATTCGGCAGTTAATCATCAAATCCCTCTGTCCACCCTCTCATCACTGGGCATCACGGGAACTGCACTCCACTGGTTTGAGTCTTACTTCACAGGTAGGTCCTTCAGGGTGTCTTGGGGAGGAGAGGGATCCAAATCACATCAACTGGTCACTGGGGTTCCTCAAGGATCCGTTCTTGGACCCCTCCTCTTTTCTATACACACTACATCACCTGTACCCGTCATTCAGGCACATGGCTTTTTCGTACCATTGCTATACTGATGACATGCAGCTCTATCTCTCATTTCAACCAGTGCCTACTTGGGTCTCAGACTGCCTGACGGACATCTCAGCATGGATGAGGGAACATCACCCGCAGCTCAAACTGGCAAAGACAGAGCTTCTCATCTTCCCAGCCACCCCATCAGTACAGCACCAGTTTACCATCCAACTGGGCTCATCAACAATAATCCCATTGAGTTTGGCCAGGAATCTTGGAATGATCCTTGATGATCAGCTGACCTTTAAAGGTCATGTTGCAAAAACAGCACGATCATGCACTATAACCTCAGGAAGATCAGACCCTTGCTAACAACACTTTTCCTTGTTCTCGAGAAATGTAAATAAAATAAGAGAAATTAAATGCAATCATCTGGAAGTGCATCTGACTGGTTCCTGTATTTGAAGACTCGCTTCACAATCATTAGTCTACACAGTAGGTGAGTTTATGAGTCTTTGCACAGAATATAACGCGCCCGAGTGTCGGGATTTAAATTCCTCATGTTTTCTTTTCTAAACATAAAGCATTGTGACAACAATAGCAATGTGCAAAAACATAAACGAAATTAAGTAGAGAATAATAACGAATCCAGTCAGACAGATGCAAGTTGACCAACTGGTGTCCAGCTACCTTATGACTATAATGTCTTTGTCATTTAATATATGTGAGCCTGGAGCACAAAAGCAGTCTTAAGTCGCTGGGGTATATTTGTAGCAATAGCCAACAATACATTGCATTATTTTCTTTTATGCCAAAAATCATTAGGATATTAAGTAAAGATCATGTTCCATGAAGATATTTTGTAAATTTCCTACTGTAAATATATTAAAACTTAATTTTTGATTAGTAATATGCATTGCTAAGAACTTCATTTGAACAACTTTAAAGATGATTTTCTCAATATTTAGATTTTTTTGCACCCTCAGATTCCAGATTTTCAAATAGTTGTATCTCGGCCAAATATTGTCCTCTCCTAACAAACC